TCCCTGGCATCCAGCCAGGTGCCATCTTGGGGCTGTGGCTCCCCACACTGGGTTTTTTTGTTTTCCCATATAAAGTTAATAATTGTTCTTTCAAGGTCTGTGAAGAATTGTGTTGGGATTTTCATGAGGGATTGCATTGAATCTGTAGTTTGCTTTTGGCAAGATTGCCATTTTTACTATGTTGATTCTACCTATCCAAGAACATGAGAGATCCTTCCATCTTCTAGTATCTTCTTTAATTTCTTTCTTTAGAGACTCAAAATTCTTATGGTACTGGTCTTTCACTTTTTTGATTAGCGTTACCCCAAGGTATTTTATGTTGTTTGTGGCAATTGTAAAGGGTGATGTTTCTCTGATTTCTTTTTCCACGAATGTATCATCTGTATATAGTAGGGCTACAGGTTTTTTTGAGTTAATCTTGTATCCTGACAACTTGCTGAAGGTGTTTATCAGCTATAGGAGTTTCCTGGTAGAGTTTTTCGAGTCACTCATGTAGACTATCATATCATCTGCAAATAGTAAGAGTTTGACTTCTTCCTTTCTGATTTGTATCCCCTTGATCTCCTTTTGTTGTCTTATTGCTCTAGATAGAACTTCAAGGACAATATTGAAGAGGTATGGAGAGAGTGGACAGTCTTGCCTTGTCCCCTATTTTAGAGGAATTGCATTGAGTTTCTCTCCATTTAATTTGATGTTGGCTGTTGGCTTGCTGTATATTGCTTTTATTATGTTAAGGTATGTTCCTGTTATCCCTGATCTCTCCAAGACCTTTATCATGGAGGGGTGTTGGATTTTGTCAAAGGCTTTTTTGGCATCTAGTGAGATGATCATGTGTTTTTTTCCTCAGTCTGTTTCTATGGTGGATTACATTGATGTATTTTCATATGTTGAACTGTCCTTGCATCCCTGGGATGAAGCCTACTTGATTATTGTGGATGATTTCTGTGATGTGTTCTTGGATTCCATTTGCCAGTATTTTATTGAGTATTTTTGCATCAATGTTCATGAGGGATATTGGTCTGTAGTTCTCTTAGTTGTATCTTTTCATTACGTAGGCATTCTGGTGATAAATAAAGCAACTACTAGCAGAAATCTATGCTGTCAAATTACTGCAGCCATGCACTGTCTCAGAGATTTGCTTCAGCCACTTCCCATTCAGATGAAGTTGTACTGAGAATCAAATTACTGAATAAAACTGAGGGAAGGACTGTGCAATGCACAATTCATCTCTTTTTAGTAGTTGGGAAAAGCCAAGCAGACAGAAATGACTAGACTTAGGAGAACTAACTTTAATATTCATGTCTGCAGTGCATTGTTTAATAAGGTACTTGCACCTATTCTGGGAGTAAGCCTTCTTAGCAATTAAGCCCCAAAAAGGTGGGTTCCTTGACAGTAATTGAAAGCATGGAACTGTTGTTTCAAAATAAGAATTCAAGGGGCTGGAGAGATGACTCCACAGTTAAAAGTACTTATTGTTCTTGTGGAAGACCTAGGTTCAATTCCCAGGACTCACATGGTGGTTCACAAACCATCTGTAACTAGAGTTCCAAGGGATCCAATGTCCTCTTCAGACCTCCATGGACATGTAGAGTACATACATACATTGTGCTGGTTGGTTTTTGTCAACTAGACATAAACGTAGACATACCTGGGAAAAAGAAATGTCAACTGAGGAATTGCCTTCTTCAGATTTGTTTATAGGCATTCTGTGGGCCATTTTCTTGATTAATGATGGACATGGGAAGGGCCTAGCCTACTGGATGATGTCATCCCTGACATGTGGTCCTGGGTAGCATAAGAAAGTGGTTTGTGGAAGCTTTGGAGAACCAACCAGCAAGCAGCATTTCTTCCTGGTCTCTGATTCAGTTCCTTCCTCTAGGTTCCTGCCTTGAGTTCCTGTCCCAACTTGACTTTATGATGGACTCCCACTATTAAGCTGAAATAAACCCTTTCCTCCCCAAGATGCATTTTTAGTCATGGTGGTTTTTTTTATCACAGCAACAGAGAGCAAACTAAGACATACATGCAAACACTCATATACATAGATAAATCTTTAAAAATTTTTAAAGATTCAAATGGGTCACTCAAGAGCCTCTTTCTTACAGATATTTAAATGATAATGGAGCTGTCAAGGACTAGAACTCAGTATTGCTTTGTTTCTTACATCTGAATGCATATTCCTTTTTAAAAGAAGTTGAGATGCCAGCAATGACCCATCACTCTTTTCTCTCCCTGACAACCTTCTCACTTTTCCACTGGAAACTGCCATTCCCCTCAGGAAAGTTAAAATAAGAATGCCAATCAATTTGATCTGTCAGTCCTGCTTTGAAAAATCTAAATTTACACCTCAAAAGAGCTGTCCAGTAAGACAACAACAAAGAATTTCTAGCCTCCTCTCTCAAATGTTTTAATTCCTATCCAATGATTAAGCCTTCTTTGCTCTCTGTCAGGTGTCACATTTCCAAGATGTGCCTGTTATGCTATATTTTATGTCTTGAAAACACAGCACATCTATGCCATGGCATTTGCGCTTACACACACATCATGTGCACACACACACACACACACACACACACCATGTGCACACATACACAGAAGCCATGCATTTAAAATATATACTTAAAGAAAGCTTCTCTTAGGGCCGTGGAGACAGCTCAGGGGCTAAGAGCACTGCTCTTGGAGAGGACCAGCGTTTGGTTCCCAGCATCCGAACAGGTGACTCACAACTACCTGTAACTCCAACTCTAGGGGTGTCCCATGCTTATCCCTCCATGCATAAACATATACCCACGCACAAATAATTTAAAATAAATCCTTTTTAAAAGCTTCTCTCCTTATCAGTCGGCCTCTCTGTCTTGGTGCCCACCCATCTTCTGCTCGCCCAGCCTAGTTTTAACAAGCATCCCCCTAAGTCACTTTAGCACTCTTGAGATTCCATCACCCTGGCCTGCTTTCAACAAGAATCCCTCAAGGTCTGACGATTCCTCTTAGTAATTTTCCATCCCCTGACATCCACACCCCTTCCTCTTGCCTATAAATCACTAGCCCCCAAGTAGAACTCGATCTCTCCTAGTGTTTTAATAAGTATCAAGTGGGCTTTTGTTTTGTTCTTTTGGTTTTTTTTTTTTTTTAAACAAACTTCCGACAGAATTCTAAGCGCAGAATCTTCCTCTAGAATAACGAGGGTTTCAGGGTCTCCTGGGACACTTACTATGTTCTCCACAATGCTGCGGGCAAACAACTCGAAAGAACTTCTACACAGCTACCTCGCCCGGGGGAATTACATGTTTGGGAGTTAATAGGCGATGCTACAAAAATCGCGTT